GGTGGAAGCTGGGAGCCAGGCAGAAAATGGGCCCTTTGGGGAGCTGCTGGCCCCCAACAAAGCTGGGTCATAGCTATTATCCATGGTTTAGTGGCAACAGCAGCAGTTGGGGTTGGAAACTCCCTGCACTTGGCTGCTTGCTCCACACCTGACAGGCTGAGGAACTTCAAGCTAGTCACTTTGCCCCCTGAGACTCAGTGTCCACATGTGTAAAGTGGGGTGACTAATCCTGCTTCAGTTCCCTGGGTTGAAGACGAATTGCCAGATCTGAGAGGCACAGGGTTTTGTAAAGTGTGAGGAGCTGCGCCCATGGGTCTTTGTGCTTACGGGGGTGAGGGCTAAGTGACAACTTGAGTTGTGACCAGTACCAAGCTGGGCTGAGCACTCGGCAGCCCCCTCATTCCAGCTCTGCTGCTTGGCCTGAGTGGGGGCCATCGGCTCATGGGGAAAGAGGGCAGCAGAGACAGCTGGCACAGGTCCCGCAGGGCATCAGGATTCAGTCAGTGTGGAGCTAGCTGCAAGGCCGGGGCTCCGAGCACTAGGTGGGTTCACCTGGGAAGCCTCACAGAAGGGGATCCCTGACAAGGACTGGCAGGGCCATGGGGGAGAGGCGCAAGGAAGGCCCACAGAGGATGCCTCCCACATGGCTACCTTCTCCTGTCCCTTCCCTCGACCCTCCTCCTTAATGGCCATTAGTCCTGCTTCTGTGGCCCAGTCCAGACCTTTGACAAGCCAGGGTACGTTAGTGGAAGTTTGTGTTTACATAAGGGAAAACTGTCCAGTGTCTTTCCCTGCTTCAGGAGAGGCTGCTGCAGCGGCTGTCCCAGGGTGACAACCTCCAAGGGTCTGAGAGCTTTACTGCTCTTCCTCCTTACTTCTTGTCCTGTCCACCACACCCACCCCTTACTCCTCATTCACACCCAGAGTTCAGGCACTACGAACAGTACATCCTGGGAGTCCTCTGGGCACCCTGCCTTGCACTGGATACCAAGTGTGTCCATCTTCAGGGGAGAAGGGGCCTGAACCCAGTACAGGTGCCTGCAGCGATGGAGCCACATGCAGACAGCTTTGCCAGCTCCCACTATGCGAACCCCAGGCTCTTTTGTGGGCACTGGTGCACACCCTCTATCTGGAGTGAGCCCACTGGGGGCGGGAGGAGAGGCGGCTAAGCCTGCGGGGGCCCTGTACCACAGCCTGGCATCGAAAACCAGCCTGTCAGCTAGCAATCTAGGGAAGCAGCACCCACCTGGGCCAGCCCAGCAGCTTCCACAACTCATGGTCAATTAAAAAAGAAAATGAGTAAGACCCTATCCACACTCTCCCTCCTCAGGCCACCAGGCCACACAGGCTGCTGAGTTCCTTTGCCTCTGGCTGGAATTATGTCCACCACGTGCAGCTCCAGCTGGCTTTACAGATCAGAAGCTCTGAGGGGCAGTCTTTGATTAATAAAAAATGGGAGCTAAATTAATAATGACTTAATACATGCAATTTGGGATCAAAATCTTCCAAAGCATGGGAAAAGTAACAAAAAGGGTTATTCTTGATAGTGAGAAGCTTGAGACTCAGAGCTGTCCTCAGACGCTGCTGCGGAGGGCCCTGTTGCTACCCGTCTGTGCCAGCTGCCGCGCCTGGGCACTAAACACGCTCCTCCACCCTCACCCAGCCCAGAGAAGGTGCTCCCAGCCCCGTTTTACAGCCGAGTAAGGCTCGGAGAGGCCAAGTTACCTGCTCCGGATACTTACAGAAACTGTAGGAGCCTGGAATCTCGTCTGCCTCACTTAAAAGGAAAGACAAAATAAAGTTTAAAAAGAAACAGGCACCCCAAACTGTGATGTCTGGGAAGGCTCTCTGGCTTGAGTGTTTGAGGAAAAGAGGGACCGGCCGCGAGCGCTGGTGGTGTTCACACCACTCACTGTCTGGGCCGGTAGTGGGCGCACAAATAGCTTCAAAGGCTGAAAAGTTTGTAGGCAGCAGAGGGCACAACCTACCCTGAGGTGGGGAGAGGGAATGCACGTTTTTATATCTGCTTCTGAAGTACCTTGATGAGGCGTATTTAACCATTTTTTTTAAATTATGGAATTATTCAAACACAGAAAAAGGTAGAAACTAGTAGACGTCAGTGAGCCCATCACCCAGATTCACCAGATGTTCTTACTTGCCATACTTGTCCAGATACTTTGTAATAAAGAGATACAGATTCAAGCTCCCTCCGGCCCCCACCTACTCCCTCCCTCTGCCCTCAGAGGCCCCCCCTTTCCGAGGGAGAGGCTGTGCTTCCTGGTGTTCAGCATTATTTTGTGTTTCTGCATGTTCTAAATGCTGATAGCTCAGTGCACCTCCTCATTCCACCCCAGCGCTTGCAGGACATCAGTGCTGGTACATGGGGGCCAGTCACTCATGTCAACTGCGGGTCTATCTAAACACAGTTTACCTCTCCATTTTGTTGCTGATGGACATGGGGACTTTGTAGTTTTTACTGGTTCAAACGCTGTAGCAGTGAAAATCTTCTCCATATCTCCTGATGTACGCATACACATACAACCTGGACAATAGCTGCAGCAGGCTGGAACTTGTGCATCCCCCTCACATGACCATAGAGAATTATTTAATGTCGAGGAAGCTTGGTTTCCTCATCAGTAAATCGGGATTAAAAAAAAAAATGACATGCATTTGGGTGTTTCCACGTAGATGAAAAGTACCTTGCAAACTGCAAAGGGCTCCATGAATATTAGTTGTTTATTACTGCATGTTCTGGGATTCTGGACCACTCCCACACTGGGGACACAACCAACAGGCCCCAGCCAGCATGGGCTGTGGCTGTGCTGTGTTCACCCAATGGAGACGCTGATCATGCAGCTACCCAACAGCACAACGCACAGCAATGTGCTCCCCACCCAGCCTGAGGGGCAGAGATAGGCAAGGCTCCCCAGAAGAAGGGCTACTGAACTCAGCTCTCAAAAGCCAGTAGAGAACAGAGGGTGGAAGGGTGGCCTGGGCATAGGGGGTAGCTGGTGAGAAGGAACTGACTGGCACAAGAGAACACGGCTGGAGCAGAAGAGTTCAGGACGAGGTAGGGTAAATCTGAAGAGGAAGGGCCCTCCCTAGTGGCACAACAGCTTAAAACTGGCACTATGAAGCTATCTGCAGCCACTGCAGCACGGGTTCAATCGCTGGCCAGGGGTTGACCCACATGGCGCGGCAGACCTCTCCTGACCTGTCTGCTGCTCTCCTCAGCAGTGTACTTCATCGATCTGCCTGTTTTGCTCCCCACTCTGTCTCTGGTGAATCCTCTCACCCTCCACAACTCTGGCCCGTACCCCAGTTCTTATATGCATAAATAAATAAATCTTTAAAAAAAAATCTGGAGAGGAAGCAAAGCCGAGACGTCATATCCTGAGGACAACAGGGAGCCACTGAAGGTTTCAAGCAAGGGAGTAACGGGCTCAGATCTGCATGGTCCAAACAGTGGTCTGAATGAGCTCTGGAAATGGGCTGCCCAACACTGTTCCCACACGCAACAGCACCGTATTACACAGCGAAACATTTGTTAAGAGGGTAGCTCTCAGGTTAAGTGTTCTTCATAGCGGAGAAATTCAGCCTGCCCGAGTGTGGAGAGGCAGGGGTAAGGGGAAAAGTGGAGGTGGGAGACCAAGCAGGGGACCTGGAGGTGGTGCCTGTCAAGGTGGCGTGGAGCTGCAGGGTGCTACCTGCAGAGGGAGGAAGGCAGCTGACGGGCTCACCCCTGTTCAAAGAGGGCTGTCCTCGCTCATCTCGCCCAGCCCTGTTCTGGGGCTCACCGACCCTTCAGCTCTCGCCTCTGGATGATGTGAGCCCTCTGGCATCTGGGCACCAAGGAATGGCTGGGCGCTCACCCATGGCCCTGCTTAGAGACTCCACCAGCTGCCAGACCACAGATGCCCCGGGGGAGGGCTGCAGACTATCACTGCGAGGTCTTGTCTAATGTCTAACCATCGAATGTCAAAAGTGCAATAAAGAGACATATACCTCTACTCAACCCACCACCCCTAACTAAGGAAGGGCAGAAACCCCCATCCTGTGTTTCTGCCTACATCCCCATGTCTCCCGGTCCCTTGCAGACAAGGCCAGAACCCTTGCCCTCCCCTCTCCTGGCTTCCCTTTTCACAACACCTGTCCCTCTCGGAGCTACAAGAGTAACTTCTGTCCTCCCTGTTGGTCTGTCAGCTCCGTGGAGGAGCCGATCAGAGCTGCGTCTGCCTGTTCACTCATGTGTCTCTGGTGCCTGTGACAGTCTGGCCTCAGAGCAAGTCCAGGAGTATTATGAGTAAGTCAGTAAAATACGCCACTGACAGTGCAGGGAGTGTGAGAAGGACCCCAGATTCAGAGGCCCTGAGATGAAAAGGGTCTTGCCAGAGCCACCAGCAGGAGAACAAAGTCCCTCTTGCCTCTCTTTCAGCGAGGCCTTCCCGCTCATCCCAGTATGCCGCGCAGAAGCCAACAGACCAACGTTTCCCAAAGTGTATTCCAGGTTATCTGGTCTCAAGAGCGTCCAGAGGGTAAACAAGTTCTGTCGTTAAGGTGGGAAACTCAGTATTTAATAAAATGAAGAGAGCCTGTTTACCACTGGAATTCTCAGAGTCCTTCATGTGAGCGTGTACACTGATTCTTGGCGAAGGTCACAAACAGAATCCCCCATGGTTATCTGTCCATGAAACCTCTGGCCAATTCTGCCTCTGAAGCCTGGTTTGCAACCTGTGGCCCTGTCCCCCAACTCCCGACATTATTATTTACTGAACATGAACAGCACAGACATTTACTGCAACTTTTTGGGCAGTACGGAGAGATCCTTTTCCACAAATGGAAATAGCTCCAATATACAAATGGGATAAAAATGGAACTGCTGTGGCCGAAGGGGAGCTTGGACACTCCATCTGCAACTTGCACCACTGTTGCCATGCAAGAAACCCAGGGTCCGGGGGAGCCTCTTTCACAAGTACAGAACTCTGCGCACAGGGTGGAAAACAGGAGACCAGGCTTCTGGGGCTGGCCGGGCACGCAATGGGAACCTCAGTGGGTAGCACACTTGGCCTCATGTGGCCTTGATTTTCCCACTTATACAATGTATCTGTTAGGGTGGATGCTTTCCTGAGTCCTGCATCTTAATCTCCGGTGAATTGAGGACTGCCATTCTATGCTTGTAAAATTTGAACTCTCCCGTTCAATGGCTCTCGGATCCTGAGATTCCACATTTTAATATTCCAATTCTGGGACTGCCTGTAGCCAGTCTGAGCTGGTGCTGCACACCGGAGCTCAGGCTGCGAAAAGCAGAATCCATTAACTGCAGTACGCTGCCCAGGAATGCCGGTTCCCTGGAGAGGGCATGCCTCATGCAGGATGGTGGGGAGTGGTGGGTGGGAAGGAATCAGCAGCCACTCAGTGGGCAGAGCTGGGAGAAGGACCCAGGTCTCCTGACTCCTGCTCTATCTTTAGATCTCCATAGCAACCGTCACCAGGGCGCCTGAGCTGAAGGCTGAGTTGGCTGTGTGCAGGAAGGAGGGGCTATTGCTTGCTTTCCTGCCTCTTCTGCTGGAGAAAGGACTCTGGGCTGGGGTTGTGAGCCAGGGACACTGAAGCTGCTGGAGCTATTCGCTGCAGGAAAGGCCGGGGCCAACATAAAACAGAGGTAATCCAAGGTGGTCAGGTCACAGAACCAGATCCTTCCCTGGGTGAGGCTCAGGGCACTTTCCTCTTTCAAATCCTTCTTTCAAAGAGTTCTCAATCTCCCTCGTGGTTGTCCTCTAAACATGTAGCAAGCACCTAACTTGAGCCAGCACTGAGCCCCCAACAGGACAGTCCCTGTGAAGTCGGGCTTGGAAACCAGCATTCCCAGGCATGGTCCAAAGGAGCCCCTCCACGTCCTCTAAGCTGAGGGGCCCTGGGAGAGCCTGCGACCCTTCTTCTGCCAGCTGCTGCTCAAACTGGGGCTCAGTGTGCACCTGGCTTCCTCCTGGCTTCCTTCCAGACTGGCTACTCTACCCCCATGGTTCCTGCAGTCCCATCTTCCCTCCACACAGCGGATGCCTGCCTTAGGGAGACAGTGACCTGCTGGGGTACACGAGAGATAGGGAGGCCAGTCTGGCTCAGAGGTAAAGACATTTGCCCAAGGTCACCTGGTAAGCGAGTGTCTGGGCCTCTCCACATCTTCTGACTAGTCAGTGCTCCTTCCTGTGTCCCGCAGGCAGGCCCTGACTGGGCTTAGGAAGGCAGGCCAGGGCTAGAAGAAGAAGCAGGAGTCCTCTGTCAGGCCTACATGCTGCAAGCACCTGGCCATGTCCTTGGTAAATTCGGCCGAGCCACAGACCAATGCATAGGGCTTTCTCCGACAGGAGCCCACAAGCTCAGCCACCAGGTCCTGGGTCAGGCGGCCAAAGCGGGTCTTCTCCCTGTAACTCCAGGGAAGCTGCTCTGGGGAGGTCTCCTGGAATAGTGAGAAACAGCGGGGCTAACTACAGGGGGCTTCTCAGAGTCCACACAGCCAGTTCTCTGACAAACATGGAAACTGAGGCAAAAGGGTTGGTGTGGTCGCTGCTCAGGTAAGCAATGCCAGAGTACAGGGGCGGGGGGGGGGGGGGCGGGGGGCCCAGGCTGTGAGAGCAGTAACATCTACGCGGGCGTGTGACAGGTGCGCGCGGGCAGGTGTGTGGCTGTACAGGTGCAGGTGGGCGTGTGGCGGGTGCGCGCGGGCAGGTGTGTGACGGGTGCGCGCGGGCAGGTGTGTGACAGGTGCGCGCGGGCGGGCGTGTGACAGGTGCGCGCGGGCAGGTGTGTGGCTGTACAGGTGCAGGTGGGCGTGTGACGGGTGCACGCGGGCGGGCGTGTGACA